TGTGTTGAGCTTGTTCAGCCCGTTAAGGCTTGCCCCGTCCACCTGCTTTAGGTAATCCACCGAGGCCTCCAGGCGCCATCCCGTCATCTTCAGCGCGCGCATGCTGAGCTCCTAATGGGGTTACACCATTAATTTCATCAATGTGTCGCTTTGGTTAATTACGTTATATAATAGGGCTTTGAGTGCTCTCCTTTCTTCATTTATGGTTTTTTAAATAAGATTGGGGTATATTATAAATAAGATAGGTGATATTATTGGGGTACTTTTAACATTACTTTAGATTTTCTTTTTAAAAATATCGTTAAACACATTGAACCGTCGGCCAAATACTCCGTGTTGGATGAAATAAATAACTATTGTTGATATTCTGAATTGTGAATATTCTTATTAATTTTCTTATAGTTTGTACGGCTGATTGGGCTCTATTTATATTGAATAAAAATATATTTGAGAGTCAAATTTAAAATTAAATAGATTCTTAGGTATAAATAATTAGCCAATTATAAATTCGATCTCAAATTCGATTACTCACTCTCCTATCCTTAGATTAATTTTATTTTACAATTCGATAAAATTGATTCCCAAACGTTATATTAATTTGTATATGATTTAAGCAAAAATGTAATGTTTTAGTAAAAATACGAATATTGATGTTCAATGAAATAATTGAATTTAATAATTTAATATTGGTTTGATTGTGTTGTAACAATTGAAAATATTGTTTCAAATAAAAATATTAATGTTATTAATATAAAAGTCATCTGTTAGCATTATTTTTTTATTTCATCGATATTATTCTCAAAAGATTATTATTATTACAAAATTATTACTTCATATTAATGTATATATTTGGCACATTATCTTCAATGCAATAATTAAAAATTATAATATTGTTATCTATATATTTTGGTAGAATTGAAAATTGGTTAGTTTTAGCGTTTTCAATGCCATTTATCAAATATGTATATTAAACGTAAAAAAATAACACTGTACAAGATTTTTTTTACAGCGTATAGTTATTGAACATATATATCATAGCTTTAACATAATTAAAGCATAATTAAATTTTTTGCATTTTCATGTAATTTCAAAATATTACTTACATTCGGTTAAATTTATTAATTAACACCTTAAACATAATGTTAACGACGAATGAATCATACATTTTTAATACAAATTATTCATATAAGCACTTGTTTTTCATCTCAAAGTAATTTACATTAATTTATCTATATGATAGTTTTATTTTAGTATATTGTCAATGTAAAAATAAAAGTACAAGCGATTCCGGAGAATGTGTTTAAACAATTTAATTTTTTTGCATAAGATATACAATAACATCATATAGAGATGATTAATATATTGAATATTTTATTTGATTCGATGCTTTGATATAACTTATACTTACTATTTACATAACATTTTTAAAAATCATTATATTTGATCATTACGTAGTTGAAAGGAGATAAGTTTCATTGCATTCAAAGAAAAGGTAATTTTACCTCTGTGTAACCCATCCCTATAAGTTGTGCTATAGCTTGTCGTTGATCAGGTTTTTCTGCAATCGATCCAGATGCGCCTGATAAACCACTGAGACCGGAAGCTGAACTTACGCCACTAGTAGTCGAAAGCGTTGATATTGTACTAGCAGCGCTGGAACCAACTTCTCCTGTACCGCCTAGAAACAAATATTGTTCTTTCTCAAATATTCTTATATATTATGTGACATTTACTATGTAGTTAATATTTGTGACTAATTATTGTAGTCTAGAAAATTGAAGGATAGACAGTTTCCATAAGCATTCGCTTATAGCGTCGCACATGCAATACTACTTATCAACGATAATCTTTATTGAAAATTTTTTATAACCTATTTATGAGACATAGGTAAGTAACATTTGTTTTTGTTACTCACTTGTACTATAAAATGTTCGTACTAAGATATTGCAACAATATAATATTAGAAATCTCTAATACATCCTAGAGTAATTAACATACACACGATTAATCATTAACGTAATTAATTGATATACGCATGCACTAATTATCGTAAATGTTGATCGTGCTATCGTAAATTAATAATTCTACAAAACATATTGAAAATAGATTTGTAAACATTATGCGCGAGATCGGTCCTTTTGTAACAAATCGTTTTGATAAAAATAGATATCAACATTTAAGCAGCATCCACAAAACAGGTTTTGATGATAATAACTGCCACATACGGGCCATATTTTATATTACTGCGGGTGAAAAATAGATTTATATATTGACATTAGCAGCACAAATGATATTTCACAATTTTAGACACATTCAAATTTAAAACAGTTAACGATCCCTCTTATTCAACGATCAAAGATAGAATACATACCAATATTAGCGAACGGGAGTAACGAATTACGGATCTCAGCTAGTGCCTTCTGATGGTACCCAGAGGCACGTGTGCTTGACTTGCTGACCGCGGGTGGATTCATAGTGGCCCATGCTAGGCCCTCGGGGACCTAGCTCTAGTTTGGCAAAAACATAAATACACAGCTCATACAAAATGAACATTTAAGTCAGAAAAAAAACTAGATGCTTCTTCTTTGTCATTAAAACCTCCTCTTATCAAACGACGCTTAAATTTATAAACTTCATCGTCAACTAGTATGGATTTACAATTTTTTCACTATTTCTTGAGAGAAAAATAAGGCTCTCTTAACAAGGCACTAGATAACACAATTTAAAGCACAGAGTCTTGAGTGGAGGTAATTCCAAGTATGGGGAAGTAAACGACGATCGACGAGCATAGATTATCTTTGCGTCAATCGGTGAGTACCAGGCACCCTCTCACCGTCCAGTGTCATTGCTATAGCGGAACTTTGCAATGTCCCTCCACCTTATCGAAGGCTGTCTCAAACGCAGAGACATGCCTATGGATATTTGGTGGCTGCTAGAGCCAGCTAAGGTATCTCAAACACTGTGTTTCCAACCCTATGCACGTATGTTAACCTACACCCCTATCGCCTCTCCTCCGAGCAATTGATTTTCATAACAGGAAATCCTTGCGGTTGAGCTCCAATTTTATTTTAACAGAGAGCAAGCCTAAAATATCACTAGTGCAAACCAATGTCGATTTTACATAATGGCAGAGATGCTGGGGCACCGGGGCCGCTGCAGACCACAGGCTTTCATAAATTCAGGACTTCTAGATCAAACTCTAATCGAGCATTTCCTTCGTGATCCTCGGCACCTTCGACACTCAGTCCGTCTTGGTTTTGGCACACTCGCTCGCTCGTTCTCCCTTCCTTAAATTCGCTCTCTCTCTCTCTCTCTCTCTCTCCTCTTCCCTTTTTTTTCGGTTGTCGCCTAGACCCGCTGACGACGTCGCATATTTTACGCGCTCCGTTGCCTTTGGGGCAGCTGCGGCGAACGAACGAACGAACGAGCGAGCGAGCGAGCGATAGAGATAGAGACAGAGAGAGAGAGAGGACTGGTAATGTACGGCCGTAGCGTTGCTGGCGAGGAGGCGGCGGCAGTGGCGGCGGAAGAGGAAGAGGAGGTGGAGGAGGAGGAGGAGGAGGAGGAGGAGGTGGTGGAGGAGGAGAAGGAAGAGATGGACGTGGAGGAGGAGGCGAAAGGAGGAGGATGAAGAGGCGTAGATGGAAGAGGTAGCGAAGGACTGAGACCGCGACGGGGATGAATGATGGTGTACACCAGGTTCCCCGTCCGGATCAAAACTGGCTTGCAGTAACCTCTCTCGGTTGGACCCGAATATGCGGCGGGAACACCAGGGCGGGACGGCGATGCTTGGCTCGGGGCTGAAGAGCTGCTCGCGGGCGGCTCGTCAACGGGGACAGGAGTCCGATGACGGTGGAGCTGTTCCTTGACAGCGATGACGGCTTTGACGGATTTGGCGGCGGCGGCAGCGACGGCGGCAGCAGCGGCGGCAACAGCAGCAGCAGCAGCATCAGCGGCAACAGCAGCAACAACAATAGTATCAGCAGCAACAGCAACAACAGCAACAACAACACCAGCAGCAACAGCAGCAGCAGCAGCAGCAGCAGTAGTAGTAGTAGTAGTAGTAGTAGTAGTAGTAGTAGTAGTAGTAGTAGTAGTAGTAGTAGTAGTAGTAGTAGTAGTAGTAGTAGTAGTAGTAGTAGTAGTAGTAGTAGTAGTAGTAGTAGTAGTAGTAGTAGTAGTAGTAGTAGTAGTAGTAGTAGTAGTAGTAGTAGTAGTAGTAGTAGTAGTAGTAGTAGTAGTAGTAGTAGTAGTAGTAGTAGTAGTAGTAGTAGTAGTAGTAGTAGTAGTAGTAGTAGTAGTAGTAGTAGTAGTAGTAGTAGTAGTAGTAGTAGTAGTAGTAGTAGTAGTAGTAGTAGTAGTAGTAGTAGTAGTAGTAGTAGTAGTAGTAGTAGTAGTAGTAGTAGTAGTAGTAGTAGTAGTAGTAGTAGTAGTAGTAGTAGTAGTAGTAGTAGTAGTAGTAGTAGTAGTAGTAGTAGTAGTAGTAGTAGTAGTAGTAGTAGTAGTAGTAGTAGTAGTAGTAGTAGTAGTAGTAGTAGTAGTAGTAGTAGTAGTAGTAGTAGTAGTAGTAGTAGTAGTAGTAGTAGTAGTAGTAGTAGTAGTAGTAGTAGTAGTAGTAGTAGTAGTAGTAGTAGTAGTAGTAGTAGTAGTAGTAGTAGTAGTAGTAGTAGTAGTAGTAGTAGTAGTAGTAGTAGTAGTAGTAGTAGTAGTAGTAGTAGTAGTAGTAGTAGTAGTAGTAGTAGTAGTAGTAGTAGTAGTAGTAGTAGTAGTAGTAGTAGTAGTAGTAGCAGCAGCAGCAGCAGCAGCAGCAGCAGCAGCAGCAGCAGCAGCAGCAGCAGCAGCAGCAGCAGCAGCAGCAGCAGCAGCAGCAGCAGCAGCAGCAGTAGTTGGCTGGCAAAGGACGGGGTTCCCGTCCCGACACTCGGTGCGCGGCACGAGGATCACCCGGACGCACACGGACGAGGACAGGAGGGTGCAACGGTACCGCGGCTCCAGTGCCA